CAGTGTAGCCACACAGACCATGAACAATGTGCATCTAACTAGAGATGGGGTTTGTTGTCATCATTTATTAGGTGCTGGCCAGTGCGCTAAGGGCCCCGCATGCTGGCCAGTGCGCTAAGGGCCCCGCATGCTGGCCAGTGCGCTAAGGGCCCCGCATGCTGGCCAGTGCGCTAAGGGCCCCGCATGCTGGCCAGCCCTTCCCACTGACTGCATTCCCAGCCCAACCTTTAGTCTTCTAAGGTAGAATCTTGATCAGATTTGTTTGTGTCAGTCAACTTGGATAAACATCTTAGGGCTTTTGCTTTAATTTAAAATACATAATAAACCCCTGACTTCTTCCTACCTCAAGCAGTGTAAGGCATTAGAACTGTAAGGACAATGGGGTTTATAAAGGTGTTGTTTTTCTACAGAAGAATTAAAAAAAAACTCTTAAGCTTTGTAACAGTTCTATTAGCTGGTACAATGACACACTGCCTGTGTCTAAAGCAGGAATCTCAACCTGTGGTGGCATCTCAGATAGCAGATGTTTATCACAGCAGTAGCGAAATCACAGTGATGAAGTAACAACGAAATTATTTAATGGTAGGGGCCACCATAATATGAGGAATTGCATTAAAAGGTCACAGTAATAGGAAGGTTGAGAACCACTGCTCCAAAGTTTAACTGTACTTATTTTGGATCTAATACAATGACAGTTGCTACATATATCTAAAGTTTAATTAAACTTATTTTGTATTAAACTTTCATTATAACTACTGAAGAAAATATGCCCTTCCATAGCTATTCATTTTTCAAAACAGAAAACTTTAAGGCCTGAGAATACAGTTCATTGGAGAAGTACTTTGCCTGGATTGATGAAATACCCAGTGCTCCCCTTTCATATAAACACATACGTGTGTGTGTGTGTGTGTGTGTGTGTGTGTACATACATATACTTAACCTTAAGTATCTGCTACTACTGTGAGGCTGAGGTATATATTTCAATACCAAATTAAGAGGTAAAGTATTAAAATGCAAACATATTTGTCTTTATACATTAATAAAATGATACTGAAATGAATTCAAAATTGTCTTTTTATTGGTAATGATTAGTGTCTATTCAGCTACTCATCTTCAACTACTTCCTTTGACACGTATTTAGGTGATAAATTGAAGGAGAAGAAAAACTGTATCAGAATAATAAAAAGAGGCTTAACTCCCAATCTTTTAAGCCTCAGGCAACATCATACACAGCACTGGCATTCTGAAAAGGGTTTCCCATACACATGTGTGCATTGCACACACATACACACGCAAAAGTTAAGACAATGTCTTAATAAAAATGTCATAATGAAAACAGCATTTAGTTCATAAATATGAACAAAAATGAAACACAGTGTGATTCATGAGGCATAGCGTCACATCTCTCATGACAACCTAAGGAGTAACGCGGTCCTGACACTTCCCCATCATCTCTAGAGGAGTGTGTCTTTATATGCATATTTACATACAAGTTGAGAGCAATATTTTAAATGTTGGTAATTTATACTGTTTGTGACACTAGAACTCATTGCTTTAAAAAATATTTCTCAAACATTGTCCTTCTTGTGAAAAAAAATGACTCATGGATTAATTAGCTACTAATAATTCACTAACATTGTTATACAAATCCAGAACAAAAGATAAAAATAATCAGTTATCTCTCTATATTTTGTGAGACTGTTTACTAAGGAAAAGAGAGCAAAGTTATAAAAAATTACTGTTAACTTACTGCACAGAACAGTCACTGAAATAGCTTCCTGTCGTCATCTCCCTCCATGTGTAAAACCATAGAAAAATCATTAGGTATAGTCCACCACTTTCAGTTTGAAAGGCCTGACAGCAGATATCTAAAAATGCGCAATTTCTGCCTAACAGAAAACAAACCCTTCTAAAAGCTCCTAGATGTGGTCACAGCCCACAGCCCAGCAATGTCTGCTGGCAGTTGCCTTCTGCATTTTACGAGGCCCATCAGGATAATGTTTGAAAGAATTGTTTCTGATTGAGGGCTCTTAGACTAGCAGGTGCCTCTGTGAGCTGCAAAATTTTCAGGATGAGACATGGCCTTTCAAAATCATCGTGAGCATTCAGTGGAAATGCTGCACCCGGCACACGAGTGGAGTGCGGCCTTTGCCGGGTGCTCCCAGCTGGGCTCTAACCTCAGGGTGCTTACACATGACCACTAAGTACTCTGTATCCATGCAAATGATCTCTTTATCCTGGGGAGGTTTCTCAAAGAGGACTATGCGGAGACATGTTCATACATTAGAGTTCTGTGGAGAATCTAATTTTTATAATTTAATTGAGCACCATAATTTAAATAGTAATCTTTAAAAATTAATATAGTATGCTAGCTGACTTTAGAGTAATTATCCAACACCAATAAAAACAAACTAAACTAGAAGCAGTGTTAATAATAATAAGAGTTAATAAATGACATGCTTGCCCCAAGAGAATGTCTAAAGCACTGCAGACTCCTCATTAGCTCAATACATCTCTCTTCTACTCGTTAGTCAGACTTGGTTCCAGTTGTTTGCAATGAAGACCCCGGTTAGTCTATTGTCTGGTATCATCTAATGTTTCTCTTCCACCATAGTGTTGGCTACCACTGCTCAGACAATTTGAACTTTAAGTCATCTATAAACATTTTATAATTCAGTTTTCTTATGCAAGTGGAATCATAATGCCCAGGTCATTCTGAACTTTAATGTTTTCACTTAACAGAATTATCTTAGAGATTCATTCATGGTAAAACACGAGGCTACAGCAAGGCCTGCAGCAAGCATTTCCTCCTCCATCATGGTAAAACACGAGGCTACAGCAAGGCCTGCAGCAAGCATTTCCTCCTCCATCATGGTAAAACACGAGGCTACAGCAAGGCCTGCAGCAAGCATTTCCTCCTCCATCATGAGGGTCCACCACAGCACACTCAGCCAGTTTCTGGCTGGAGGACAGTCGGCATGTTCCACGCCCTTTATAATTACAAGCAATGCTTTGAAATGTGCTAGTACCTCCTCTGTGTGTGCATAAACGTCTAGGAAGATACGTCCTTATTGATGAAATCCACAGTACATGCCAAATTATTCTTCAAAGAAATCGATCAGATTACATCTGTGATAAATGTATGCCTGATTCCTCTACTCTCTTCGACATGGTAAGCTATCAAATTGAGCCTTTTGCTAGATAGTTGTATTTTTTTTATGTTAGAATTCTTTATGCTCTCTGACTGACATGTATTACAATACCATTTTTTCTAGAGTTCCCTTTTTTATATTTATTTATTATGTATACAATACTCTGTCTGTGTGTATGCCTGCAGGCCAGAAGAAGGCACCAGACCTCATTACAGATGGTTGTGAGCCACCATGTGGTTGCCGGGAATTGAACTGAGGACCTTTGGAAGAGCAGGCAATGCTCTTAACCACTGAGCCATCTCTCCAGCCCCTTTTCTAGAGTTCCTTATTTTTATGTGTTCAAAATTTTATTTCATGGTTTCTGCACTTGGTTCCTTTAACACCATCTGAAACTACACTAAGAAGCTGACCTCGGGGCTGGAGGAGAGATGGCTCAGTGGTAAAGAACGCTTGCTGCTCTTGTAAAGAACCCGAGTTTAGTTCCCAGCACCTACAGGTGACTCACAACCATGTAACTCCAGTTCCAGGGGACCTGATACCCTTTAATGGCTTCTGTGAGCATTAGGCAGGCACACAGTACACACACAGATATACAAGTGAAACACACATACACATAAAATAAAATAAGTAAATCTTTTTTTTAAAGTCATTCTTGTCTATTCTTCATGCGCCATCAATTTAATATTCAAGTGTCAATTCAATGGGGATATATTTGGCAAAAAGACTAAGGAAGACGGTAAACATAGCTTTTTATAGATAGATAACTGGTACTATCCTAGTTATTAGACCATTGCTTTGATGGCTGCATTGCCATCAAATAACCCACAGTAAGTTCTGGGACAGCTTTGGGTTGACTTCTGGGTTTCTACTGACCCAAAAAAGTAGTACCCATGGTGTTCTAATATTTGTACCTTTAGAGTATACTTTAACATTTAATATATGGTACAGTTAATTTAAATTTATTTATTTATTATATTTCTTTAAAACTTTATTTTGAATTATGTATACATATGCATGTCTGTGTGTAAGTTTGTACAGGTGAGTGCAGGTGCCCTTTGGAGGCGGGATCTCACTACAGCTGGGGCCACAGGCAGCTGAGAGTCATCTGACGCAGGGGCTGGGACTGTGCTCAGTCTGCAAGAGCAGCACTGGCTCTTAACCACTGAGCCATCTCTCTGGCCCTCAAAATGTATATTTATATCATTATTATTGTTGTATTATTATTATTGTTTTGTGTGTGCGTGTGTATGTACACACATGAATGTGCTCACGTATAAAGGTCAGAGGACCACACTGTGGAGTCAGTTCCCTTTTTACATTACATGGGTCCCAGGGAATGAAATCAGGTCAACAGGCCTTTGTGGCAAACGTGTACTTGCTGAGCCGTATTGCCAGCCCCAACTAATTGTTTCATTGTATATCAAAAGATTAAAGTTTTGTATGAAAAATATTTATGTAATGGTAATATTCAAAGACAAACTACATCTTTAGCTTATAACTAAAAGATGACAACATTGACCTGGAAGTACTACATGCAGAAACAGTGGAGTAAAGGCTGCTCTTCAGGTCTGCTGAGAAAGGAAACTGTGCTGAGGGCACCAGTTTTCGTTCCTTCTCTTTCTTACACAGTCCTTTAGTACTTATTACGTCATGGTTTTTTCCTTTTAGATAGAGTCTGTGTAGCACAGGCTAGCTTCCAATTCCCTCTGTAGTTGAAAATTACCTTGAATTTCTAATCCTTCTGCTTCCACTGCCCAGGGGCTGGGATTGCAGACAAACATTAGCACACCCTTCTAGCTTTGGTATCTGCACACCCACACCGCAGGCTGGTATGATGATAATTTATACCTGTTTGATTTCTTCAACAGCCACAGCAACTGAGAACAAGACTGCCTGACCAAAGCTGCCCTGACAGGAAACGTGACAGGCTGGGTCAGTCCACGGCATATGTAGGCCATCTCTTTCACCATTGTCCAGCTGTAGCCTGAAGTGAGAAGGAAGGAATGGTAAATTTTGGATTGCAATCTTGGTAGTCAATTAACTAAAAGACCAAATTACCCAGAAAAAGACAACTCTGTCACTAATTTATAGATGAGATCCTAGAAAGTTCACAAAGTCTCACTGACTTCCCAGTAAATTAAAACATAGCAATGCAAGGAAAAGATGGCTTTTATTTATGCTTCAGTGGTGCTGGCTGAAGCCTGGGCTCTTGCCAATCAAGTCCACCACCATTAAGCCGCCCAACAACAGGGAAATGTTCAGGGCCAGAGCTGTGTCCTCAGCCACACTTGCTCTTCTGACACTGAATTTGCTGTACACAGCGTGGGAAAGCGAGTACAGAGGCCGTTACCCATCTGCACGGACCAACGTGGGATTGCTCACAGCGGGTGCAGACACACCTTTGTTCTACTACAGCTTGCAAATACACGCTTCCATGGAGGTGTGTGGACAGACGTCATCGGGGCCTATGAGGGGTAACTGAAGGAAGGGCACACACACATACCCCGCGCCCTCCTCCCGCCCCCACAGGGTCACATCCTTCCTTTAGGCCCTCAGGCTCTGTGGGATGGACTTTTTAGCTCTGTATGAAAGCGTGTGCAGCTTTTACAACTGGAGGATACTTTAACTCAACCAACAGTAAACACCTGATCAGAATTACCACCTTCATTGACTTTCTCAGGATGCCAGCCTGTTGTCCAACCCAAGGAGAAGGTCACATCTGGAAAGGAAGATGTCACGGTGTCTAGAAAGGCTTTGGCATCCACAACTTTGCTGCTTCCGTTTGGCCCAGGAAGAATATCAGCATTGATCCACACGGGACGCTGAAGAAGATGCTTCACATTCTCCAGGATCAGCATGGACGCTCTGACGGCTGCCAGACTGACAGAGAGAGATGGTGACCAGTGAACCACCCTGCTCTGAGAATGTCTAACTGCTCTCAAGTTCAAATACAAATGTAAAATGTCCTATGGGACAAGAGAGGAAGAGTAACCCACACAACTTACCTCAAAATACTTATGCTTCTTTTTCATGAAAGGGACTTATAGATTTTACCACTATATGACTGATACCATTATCTATGACCCAAACGGGGGCTTCACAACTCCTATTCGGGTCACTAAATGTGAAATGATGTAAGAAAAGATAGACATGTTCACTTTCCAGTCACCCCAGGGAATGGCGGGTACAGCTGGGCATGCTCTGAGCATGGTCTACCACATCTCAGTCTCTGGTAAGAGCGACTCTGACACCTGACATCCTGCGGGAGACAAGGGCTCTCCATCACGCACGATTGGGTGAGTCTGGAGACATGAACACATTTCATAAAGCTACTACAAACCCGGTTCTTCTGCGCTCTGAGCACCTTCTGTGGAAAGGAGGGAGGAGGTTTCAGTGCCAAGTCAACGGTGCTTGTCTTCTCCCCTTCCACAGCTGTGCTCACAGACTTCACAGCAGCTCTTGACTTCTTTATCTGTTGGTTTTTGAGACAAGATCTCACTACGTAGTTCTGGCTGGCTGGGAACTCACTCTGTAGACCAGGCTGGCCTCAAACTCAGAGATCGCCTGCCTCTGCTTCCAAGTCCTGGAATTAAAGGTGTGTGCCACCACACCCAGCTTACAAAATGGTAAGATTAGTTTAATTTATCATATTTACTTTACTTTGTGTGTGTATGTCTGTCTTACTGTTCTCAAATCCACACACATACCAATTTAAATGGAAAACCTCACTACTTCTAAAGGTTCTTCCAACCTTAAAGATGACCCCTTCTGAGACTTTAGAACGGCTCACCAGGAGAAAGAGCTCCTGTGCTACTGAGGTGAAGGCTGAGACCCTGCAGATGGAGAGACAGCGCTCTTCCCGAGGACAAGCGTGTCCATCTGCGTTTCCTTCCTGTAACTCCTACTCTTTAAGGAGAGAAATTTTATTAAATCATGTGCTAAAGCCGGAGACGCGTGGCACTCGGCTCCAGTCCCCTGTACCTTTCATAGTCTCCCCACTGTCTTTGAAATGGACACCCTAGATTTTAGTGGATTAATAAGTAAGTCTTAGGCAGGACCTTGTAGGTCCTAATTTAGATGCTTTTATTTATCTGTAGTGCTTCTTGACTTCTATTACATTCATGTCTGTTGAAACCCAGATTCTAAAATCCACAGGGAACCACAGAAGCCCCCAAATCAGCAGGAAATCCAACGAAAAAGACAGCAAAACTAGCTGGGCACGGTGGCGCACACCTTTAATCCCATACTTGGGAGACAGCGGCAGCTGGATCTCTGAGTTCAAGACCAGTTGGCCTACAGAGTGAGTTCCAGGACAGCCAGGGCTACACAGAGAAACCCTGTCCAAGATAACAAAGATAGGTGCACCAGAGGCTGAGGTGGGGGGTGGGGGGGGAATTAAGCGACTATGAAGAAGAGAGTTCAAAGTTAAAGTTCAAGATCTTAACTCCAAAACCAAAAACAACAAGACGCAACAACACTCGGACTCTGAATTGCTTCTGAGGGCTGAGCACGCAGCTCCCAGCCGGTGGCACTATTTCAGAGGCCATGTAAGGCTTTCTTTAGGCTGCTAGAATGACCTCAAGGGGCAGGCCTGGGAGAACTCTCCCTGCACCCGGTCCCAGCTTGCTTCTTGGTCTGCTGCCATGGGAACTGATTCTTCTCACAAGAGCCTTGCCCCAGATGGCATCTGTCCTCTCCAGGGAAGTGGACGGACCGAAACTCATCTGAAACCCTGAGCCAAGATTCTACAGCTATCTCTGCCAAACAGTTTGGTCACAGTGATGTGAAAGTAAACTGATAACGCCGAGCATCTTACCTTACCTGGCCTTCTTACAACTCCAAGGCAACAATAAAAACCATCTCCAATTTACAAGAAGTAACTTAACATTGTATTTTAGATGAAAATCTTTTAAAACCCCAGAGCCAGCTAAACTCCAGATGAAATTTAAACATCACCATATATTACTACACGACAATCAGAATGCCATATTGTAATCATGTATTATCATTTGTATGTTATATAAAATAACCTAGAAGCATAATACAAGATCCACTAAAATACCATGCAGCTCCACTTCCAGAGGTAGTTCAGGGGTTTGCTTTAACACTCAGGCTGGCTGCAGGTTCATCTGGTAAAGGTGCTCGCTGCTAAGTCTAATGACCTGATTGTGGAAGGAGGGACCCGACTCCCGCAAGTGTCCTCACACCCCCACGAGCCTGCTGTGTAGTGTATACACACACACATACACTAGAAAAGAAGAACATGTACTCTAGAGCATGCACTTAGCATGCACAAGGCCCTGTGTTTGGTCCCAAGCACCACAGACAGGAACAGAGAAGCGAGCTCCCCATGTCCAGCCAGGCTCATGCTCTTCACTACCAAGCATCTAGGCAAAAGCAGGGTCTTTACCCCTCAGCCTCCATGTCTTCCTATGCAGGTGAGAACAGAAGCTCTTGGGATTTTTATGGGGACCGTATATAAAACACACACAGCTTTCAGAACCGTGTAACACGTTTCTTCTCTTACTCTACAGAGCAGCGCACACTTGGAGTTGCTGAGCCACCTCTGCAGCCCCGATCAGCATGCTGTATGCTGCTCTTGCAGAGGATCCAAGTTTGGTTCCCAGCACCCATGCTGGGGGCTCACAATCACTTGTAACCAAGGTCCAGGGAGTCTGATGTCCTCAAATTGCCTCTGAAGGAGCTGCCATGCATGTACACACATACACAGACATGTACACATTTAATTTAAAATAAAATAAAGTTTAAAAGATACATTTCAATTTACATTTATTTATTTTTTTATTTTTAGTGGCGTGGCCCTTCTGTGGGCCACTAAACTCACAAATGCACAAGCTAATCTACGGGCGCCAAAGATGGCCTCACAGACAACAGCCAACACTCGAAACACTGCACATGTGGAAGAGGAGCGGGCTGTGTTTAAACTGCCCAGTGCTACTGATTGGCCCTGGGATCTGAGGTTGGCTCAGCGCTCGTCCTCAGGTGACTCCCTCAGTGATGCCCACCGGGACAAAAACAGCCCACAAATCTCTCTGGTTCCTGGATTTTATTTAACTCAGCCATCCTTGTCAATCCAGACTCCTGTACAGCTACTCGCTACAACAAATTGACAAGGATTGCTGGGCATTCACTCACAAACAGTGACAGTCATCTTAACAACCCAACAAGCTTTTCAAATCCTTATTCACATCCTGAGATAATATGATTTTACAGATTTTTAAATTTTTTTTATTTATGAGTGTGACACACACTGGTGCAGGTGCCTGCAGAAGTCAGAAGAGGATGCTGGATCCCCTGGCTGGAGTACCAGGCTGCTCTGAGCTGCGAGACATGGGTGCTGGGACATGTACTTGGGTCCCCTGGAAGATCAGCAAGTGCTCCTAACTGCTGAGCTGCCTCTCCAGCCCAGAGATAACTTGAGGTATGTATGATTCAGAGACAGGTCGGGTTGCCATCATTTCTGCGTTTGAATGGCAGTGGCTGCTGGAGGCTTGTGGGAAGCCACTCTGCCTCCCAGCAACTCCAGGCATTAAAGTTTCTGTATTGCCAAAAACAATAGAAGGCAAATCTCCTGCGATGGCCATTGGGAGGGAAATGAGAACCATTCACACACACATGGTCAATTCCTGAAAATTAGTATTGTAAAGGCTACTGTGATTACTGAAGACTTCAGAAAAGCCTCTGCTAATGCAAAGCAGTCAAACCGAATCTGCACGGACAGCTCTGTTAACGGCCTCTCCTTTCAGAGCACTGGTGGAGAAAAGCATTTTGTTTTCCATCTACAGAGGAAAGTAAGACATCCCTCTATAAAAACCGACTTCAGTCTTAAAGGAGCAATCTTACCAATCAACATTTTTAAGTCTATTCTGGAAACACATAAAGGCCTAAAATTTCGTTTTCAGTTGACTGAGGTGTAGAGATAGGTACACCTTAGGTACATCAAAGACAAAGACGCACGTGTTGGTTTTTCCTGTGAGTGAATTCTGTAACAGTAAGACGCATGTTTGTACAAATACCTCTTGAAATCCAGCTTGATGCCCTTGTTGCTCTTGATGACCTCAGCCAGCCACTCCTGCAGAGTGTTATCACTGTATGTCTCAGGAGGATGGGCCATGATTGGCTGGCCATGCTCTGATCCATCACTAGGAAGAAGGACATCAGCCTCTATCATGTGGGCAGCACCTGCCCAAGTAAGAGAGCTATGTTACTGCGGAACAAGGAGGGAACTACAGAAGCAGCGTGTCAGTACCCATGGGAGGAAGAGGGAAGGAATCACCCTACCTACGAATCCTTTCTGGTAAAGGGAGAACAGAAAGGGAAGGGAAGCCTGTTAAGTATTGTTGGAGTTTTCTAGTAGCAAAGATAGTTTATTTGAGCTGAGAGTGTCCCTCAAAGGTGCTGCTTGCCTAATAGTATGAGCAAGACTCTGGTTCTACCTCTGGTACCAGACAGACATATACAAACCTGCACACCACACAAATACAGAGACACGCACACACACAAATGTGAAGACGCATGCACACAAACACATAGACACATGTACACACACAGATACAGACACATGCATACACACATACCTGCATATACACAGAGATATATAGAAGCACACATACACACCCTCACATACATATACAAATGCACACATATGCACACACACATAAATACAGACACATACATTCACATTTACAGAGATACACAGATGAATGCATATACATACATGCATGCACACACACAAATACACAGACACACATATACACACAGATATATAGACAGCTGCATGTATTATCTTCTTGATATTCAAATTAGAATCCAAGGACATTCATTGTTCATACCTGAAGTGCTACACAAAAATTATTGTCTTTGATTTAAAACTTAGCTACTTTTAAAAAGTGGCCTGTTTGGTGGGACAGACTATCACCACACAGTCCACACTGGCTTCAAACTTGTAGCTGTGCTATTCCATCCTCCCAAATGCTGGGATTGCAGGCATTCACCACCACCCTAGCCCTGGATGCCTGCTACCAGGAGATTAACAGAACAGACATCTGATAGCGGCTGCTGTCCTAACAAAACCCTGACATAAAGTACCAGCCCTGGGACCTGGGAAATCCTTAGCAGGTAAGGAAAGAACGGTTCATGGACTGACTTGAGAACAGACATCTGTCTTAATTTTTATAGTTATTTCTTTATTTTGTGTATATATGTGTCTGTGTGCATGCATGTACACGCGGTATGCACGTGGAAGTCAGAAGACAATGTACGAGAGCTGGTGTTCTCCTTCTATCCTCAGGGTTTGGGTATTGAACTAAAGTTGACAGGCTTGGTAGCGAGCACCTTTACCTACTGAGCTATCTGTTTTAGACAACAGTAAACTTGGAAACACCGTCATTTGTAGTCATGGCAGAAGATGGAGAGGAGAGGATACCAGTGAATTTGTGGAGTTAATGTACGTGGTTTCCAGGAGACGCTTCAAGTGTCAGCTGGTTTCTTTGAACAACTTACATTAATAATGAGAAGAAAGACAATAAATAGTTAATTGCTGAGATTTTTAGTAGTATACTAAGGAAGGATTTCCAACTTAGCCCCAAATATCTTTCTAGAGACTTCCATCTTCTTTACAATGCCACTGGCAATTAAATTTAGATGAGTTTGGAGAAAAACCTTCAAATCAGAACACTACAAAAAAATATAATTCCAGTGCCAACGCAGCCAACAGGGCAGCTGCAAGGCCTTTCTAAGCCTCAGGACAGCACCCACTCCCACACAAGTGGATGAAGAGAATGTAGAATACTAAGAGTATCTGTCCATAGTAACCAAACCTGCAGACCAACCAAGTCAGAGTGCAGACCACCACAAAGCAATCTGGGTATGTGGCTTTTGACTAGAGGAGTGTAATAAATCCACAAGCTGGGGTCAGAGAGATGGCTCAGTGGTTGCCACCCTGGCTACTCTTGCAGAGGACCTGGGTTCAGTTCTCAGCATCTACATGATAGCTCACAACTGTCTGTAACTCCAGTTCCAGGGATCCAATGCCATCTCCTGGCCTCTACAGACAATATTCATGCATGGTAGACAGACATACATGCAGACAAAACACTAAGACACAGAAAATTATTAAATAAATCTTAAAAATAAATATTTATGGGAGATACATACAATTGAATCAAAATGAACAGAGGTAGTTCAAATAGAGACTTAAATGAGAGTCTGTGGGCTCCCAAAGTTCACAATCAGGTCAGAGCAGTCAGTAGCAGATGGGACCGCTTCCCCAAAGACACCACCAGAGGCTCCAGGGTATTTCTCTTTTTAAAAAATTATTACATATTTTGAACCGGGTGGTGGTGGTGCTTGCCTTTAATCCCAGCACTTGGGAGGCAGAGGCAGGCGGATCTCTGTGAGTTCGAGGCCAGCCTGGTCTACAAGAGCTAGTTCCAGGATAGGCTCCAAAGCTACAGAGAACCCTGTCTCAATAAACTAAACAAAACAAAACAAAAATCATTAGATATTGTATTTGTTTATGGGGTCACACGCATGCCTGCCGTGCTGTGGAGGGCAGAGAACAGCGTGTGAGACTTGGTTCCTCCTGCCATAGCCGTGTGTGTCCCTGGGATTCCACTCGTGCTGACAGGATGGGGCCGCTGCCTTTGCCAGCCCATCAAGGGTAGTTAAGCTTTTAGGAAGTACAAATCTAAATTGCAGTCACATATACCAATTCGTACAGACTGGGGTGCTGGCCAAAGATGTGAAGATTTAGGACCCTCTCCTCAGGTACAATCATTGAAGCCATGAGCACCCGTAGCCTGGCTTCTAGTAACCCATGTCTAACCTCTCGTGGCCCAAGGAACCTTCCACAGAGGTCAGCCTCGAGAAAAACAACTTACATAGCAAAATTAACCCCCTAACAAGATTACGGGAGACAGTGCCATCAAGCCTGTTGGGCATCCCACAATGAGACTGGCTCCTGGCCTCTCGTGCAAGGACTTCGATCCCCTCCCTTCCAGGAGTTCCATCCCATTTCTGGGAATTCACAACTGCTTCTCTCAGTGTATTTTAACACCATTTCTCTGTGTCTGTTCACGTCTGCTGACTTCTTTTTAGGGCAGACAGTAACAGGGTTTGTAGCAGCCCAAAATGCAAACAATAGTTTGCATTTTAATTGTGGAGTGGATAAAACATGCTCTGTGGATACAATGTACTCCTTTGTGTGCAAAAAGGAATCATCAGCAACCCACGCCAGGACCTCAGCAAACCTCACAAACACACTAAGGAGCAACAAGGAAGGTACAAGGCAGGGAGATGCGGAGGATCCTTAGTGTGGGGGAGAGTGTTCAAGTCTGGGTTCAGGAACAGGCCCAGTGGGGTGATACAGTTCTGTAACTCCCACTGCTGGTGAGATAGAGTTCAATCAAGCCCTGCCTAGACTACAGAGAACATTCAGTGAAAACTAAAAGGAGCAGCTGGAGAGACCGCTCAGCAGCTTGAGTTCAGTTCCAAGCATCCACATGGTGGCTCATGATCATCCGTAGCTCCAGTCCCAGGGAGTTTGATGCCGTCTTCTGGCCTCTGGGCACCAGGTACACTCACGCTGCACAGACATACATGCAAGCAAAACACCCACATACATAAAACAAACTGAAAAACACAGACAAGCAAGAAAAGGAAAAAGAATGCTAGGGCATAGATTAGTGGTAGTGCTTGCCCAGGGTGTTCCAGGGTCTGGGGTCAACATCAGTATCGCTAAGCACACGGTCCTGGAAAGAAAGCACCCGGTCTGAGGACAGCAGGGGCTAAGCCATGCGAGGAGCTGGAAGGCCAGCAAAGAGGGAATATCAGAACCACAGCAGGCAGATCTGAAGACTTAAGCTAGCTTGTGCAGGGTTTTCAGGTCACTGTGATGGTTTGGAGCACCAGTAAACAGAACGCATCCTCTACACGGATGGTAGGAGATGAAGCAGCAGGTTAGCAGATGGGTATCAAGTTGTTACACCTGTGATGCCAGGACAAATGGCACAACTTAGTTGAGGGGGAAATGAGCCTGATGATGTCTAACTGTAGCAATCGACCCACGCTCAAATTCTGGAAGGGAGTCTGTCTCCAGAGTCAAGTCCAGCTGCGGCCACACAGCTGCTGCCCACTCTCCAGGGAAGCCGCCCACTCTCTTGCCCACTGCCTGGGACATGGCTGCTGCCCACTGGGGAACTGTGCACTCTCCTGTCCACTGACTCTGGCAGACTGGCTCCCAATCCAGTGAACTCATAGACATTTCACTTGGATTTCAAAAAATGTACTGAGTTCGTAAATTACCCAAAGTAACCTGAAGTAGTTAGGTGTGGCAACTCCTATCTGGAATCCCTTGGATTCTGGACTTGGAATGCTGATACCAGCCTGGGTTGCATACCAAAGACTGCTTCAAAAATATAAGAATAGGAAAATAATTTTTAGCAGAAATAGCAGAAGCCACTTACTCCTCAGTGCCTCACGCATCTGGGACTTGTGGTTGGCTGCGTGATACCAGACAATCTCAGCGCCATCTTCTGTCGTGATCTGATTGTTTCTGAGAAAATAACCCAGTATGTTTTCACTCCAGGATCCTGAAATAACAACATTTAGGACAGAGAATATTGTTTTTGACGGGGTGCATGTTTAAGGTGGCCACCACGATGTTGTGAGATGCGCGTGGCAAGTGAAACAGTTTCCATGCTGAGGCGAATACGCATACCCATCTTCTCTCCAGAGACTGTGTTTAAATGTTGCTGTTGGTGCGTGTGAACACGTGTGCACGTGTATATTGCACACATGTAGGCGCGCACATGCACGCACATGCTTGAAGAGCAGCTACAACCTCACTGGCATAAGTCTCATGAACAGAACACTTTCACTATCTTTATTCCTCATGGAGCATACTAGATCTCCAGACTCGCTCATTCTGCATGTCTGCCCTTTACCTTTTGGTCAACACTTCCTCACCTCTCCCAGGAATAGCCAATGTTGTGTTCTCTATTTCTATGTATTTGAGAAATTTTACATTCTACAAGTAAAAGAGATCATGCAACATATTTTCTTCCTGTGGCTGGTTTATTTCACTAAGCGCAATAATATCTCTTGGGCTCACATGTGTGGCTACTAGAAAGGGCTTTGTTAGCGTGAAATGCTATTCTACCCATTACCCTGTCACTAGACTTGGGGGCTTCCACGCCTTGGCTGTTGTGAAGAATGTCCACACACATTCCTTTACAAGCGGTTTCCTCCCCATGGTATGTGCCCACAGTGGGGGACTGCTGGGTTGCAGCATTAAAAATGTTTTTTATATAAAGGTGCAAAAGATATATTGAGAGAGAGAAACCAAGCAATTAGGCTAGGAAAAATAGATTCACAATACATATATGCACTGTGACATGTGGGCCTGTGGTACATGTAATATACATCATGCTGCAGTCAGCAGCCATGCGCTGTGCTCTGCAGACTGGAGGTATAAAAAGCATGCAGGAAAGCCATGTGCTGTGGTCTGCAGACTGGAGGTGTGAAAAGCAGGAAGACAAAAAAATGCTAAGAAGCAGACACTGAAAAGCAGAAACTCTACATTGTGTCCTCCAAAAACCCTGGTCCTCTGCATAGAGACAAAGCTCCACTAAAAAACTGAGGGAGGTTCTGTGTGTGTGTCCCCGCCAAGTGAAACCCAAAGTCCTGAAGGTGTGTCTCTGGAGCCCCTTTAACACCACGAGTCCACGTGCTGCTGCAAATCTGCCTTCAGACCATGCATGACCCTCTGGGCAGCAATCACAGGCTCAGTCAGCACACACAGATACAAGTAACACACATATTGCCAAGTACTCACAGTATACCAGGTTTTCCTTTAATCTCCTCCCTAAGCACTGTTATCCAGTGCAGTGCCTACACACGTTGCCAACTGTTGGCTTTTTAACTCTGCCTGGCAACTTTTAAAAGTCTAATGCTAGTTCACATTGCCAGTAAGATACCAGGCTGGAGGTCTCGAGGCTGGAGAGACGCTCAGTGGTTAATAGTGCTGCCGCTCTTTCAGAGGATCCAGGTTTGATTCCTGGCACCAACACGAACACCCTTCTGTTCTCAATCTGTTAACTCCAGTTCCTGCAGAAAAAAAACCCTTCTAAAGCACAGGCTCGCATGCAAGCAAACACTCACATACATAAAATAGAAGTAAAAAGTAAATCTTTAATATCTATTCATTGGGGAAAAAAATCTTTGGTCAGAAAATAGGACTTCTTTTACTACCTCTGTTCATTTTGATCCAAGTGCATGTATCTCCCATAAAAACGTGGGCTTCATTTTTAAGATTTATTTTCTGTGTCTGAGTATTTTCCTATGTATGTCCATGATGTGTGTGCTTTTTGTCTGCAGAGGCCAGAAGACAGCATTGGGTTCTAGAACTGGAGTCACAGAGAGCTGAGAGCTGTCATGTGGGTGCTGGGAACTGAACCCAGGTCCTCCGCCACAGCAGCCAGCGGTTTTCTCCCCAGCTCCAGCATGTGGGATTTTGACATACCAAATTACAAACCACTTCTTTAGTCATAAAACTGAGGAGTTGGAAAGATAGCACCTGCCAGCCTATGGCTTAGCAAGCACTCTGGAAAAAATAGGGGAGTCCCCAGTGCCCCCTATTGTCCCCAGTGGCCCCTCCACTGCCCCCAGAGTTCCCCCACTGCTCCAGAGTTCCCCCCACTGCCCCCAGAGTTACCCCTGGCCCCAGAATCCCTCCACTGTCCCAGAATCCCCCCACTGTCCCAGAATTCTCTCACTGCCCCAGAATCCCCCCACTACTCCAGAATCCCCCCACTGCCCCAGAGTCCCCCCACTGCCCCAGAGTGCCTCCATTGCCCCAGAATCCCCCCACTGCCCCAGAGTCCCTCCATTGCCCCAGAATCCCCCCACTGCCCCCAGAATCCTCCCACTACTCTCAGAGTTCCCCCACTGCTCCCAGAGTTTTCCCACTGCTTCCAGAGTTCCCCCTGGTCCCAGAGTCCTCCCATTGCCCCCAGAATCCTCCACTACCCCAGAATCCTCCCACTGCCCCCAGAATCCCCCACTGCCCCAGAATCCTCCCACTGCTCCCAGAATCCCCCCACCGTCCACAGTGGCATCCCACTGCCCCAACAGCTCCCTCAACTACCTCCAGCAGCCTGTACTGCTCCCAGCAGTCCCCTCAAACACAGGGCCCTCTTCACAAATGCAAGAGTATGCATGACCATCATTTTTTAAATATCCAAGTTAGTCATTTTAGGAAGCACATTAATTCTTAGTTATGACAAATACTAACAAAGAAGAAAACAATTACATCACAGTATATATCATAATAGAAGCATAATAGATGTGGCACTGGACACTTGAATCCCACAGCTCAGAAGCCTAAGACAGGAAGATTATGAGTTCAGAGCCAGCCTGGACTACACAGTAGAAGTCTCCCTAAAATGAGGTGAGGAGGGACAGATAGACAGCGATCAACTGACTGAGAAGTTGGGTCATTCTTCCCTGGCACACAGGTGCCAGAACACACCTAGACCTTAGGCTTTGCTATTGCGCCTTTCAGCCGTTCATACTGCATTTGGAGTTTTCATAAAGGCGCCTTACAAATCAGCAACAGGACACAATGATGCAGGACGGGTAAGTCCAATACCTTTTCTTTGGGTAGATTGCTGCTCTGTACTTAGGGACTTACAATGGGGTGATGTCCAGATAAACTAATTGTTGGGTTAGAATATCCTAACTCAAAAGACATTCAACACACCTACTGAGCATCACAGCGCAGCTCAGTCGATTTTAAAATGTTTGAAACATGTGAATTTGATCTCTTCGAAGAGACCAAGGTAACTTTAGAAGCCACTTAGTTGGGGGCTTGCTGACAGTTTGAGAGGGTGAGTCCACGACCCTCTCAGAATGGCAGCTGGCAGGCAGGCAAGGTGCTGGAGCCGTAGCTAAGAGCTTAGATCTTATTTGAAAGTTGAAGACAAAGTGGGGTTGAGCCTGTCATGGAGTTTTTTGAAACGAAGCCCACCCCCAGTGACACACCTCCTCCAACAGGCCACACCTCCTCCCCAAACAGTTCCACTAACTAGGGACCTAGCACTGAAACACAGGATTCCATGTGGGGTGGGGGCATTCTTATATCTGTTCTTTGAGAAATTCTATTCTTTGGATTTATTCCATAGACAGATAAATTCATTTGGGAGAATGAATTTCATTCAGGAAACTTAATGAACTGTTCATAATAGCAAGAGAGTGAAACTTCAAATGTGTCGGCACTAAATTTGGACCATTCTGCAGCCCTTCAAGTGAACAAGGCAACTATCTATGTACAAAAGGATTTCCAGGACAGTAGTAAGGAAAGCGTTAGAGCAATGGTGCAGGAGGAATAATAGGTACCAGCCAATATGTTACACAGCAAAGAAGGAGTTAAGGTGCCTATGTGAATTCAGGGTTTCTGTTTCATTTCGTGTAAGTGAGGACATGAGACATTTTAGTTCCAAATGGCATCGGGTTGCTATTCAGATGACTGAAATGGGAGGATGTTTATTTGAGTGTATAAATGTCAACAACAGGGTCCTCTTAAGTCTAGAGGGAGGAAGGCCAGCGAAAGCTGAGGTGATGTAGTGAGGGGAAGCCCACAGTCCTTTCTGGCTTCAGAGACGCAGGAAGAGCTCCTATGAGCCAAGGAGCCAGAAAGGCAAGAACACTGCCACCCACACCTCCTGGAGAAAAGCACTCCTGGTAACACCATGCTTTTAGCCCGTGGAAATCTGGCTCAGACTTCCGATACCACTTGGGCAAAGCATTGGACACAAGGGAACTGAAAAACTGCAGCCGCGTGATGGGAGCTGTGTCTCCTGTCAGAATTTCCCTCTGTGGTTAAATGTCCTTAGGCCACAGTTAGGCTGTTCCCGCTGGATCAGAAACTAAGGTCTTCTCCACACTGTGCTCTAAGGATCTACAGGCATTATGTTGTGAAGTGGTGTGCTGTGTGTGTGTGTCACATGATCATGAATAGGTGTGCCTGTTGCCTGTGTGTGCACATCACAGGTTCGTGAAGAATAGGTGTGTGCTTGAGTGTGCATGTCACATGCTTGTGAAGAATAGGTGTGTGCCCGTGTGTGCCCATGTGTGCACGTCACATGCTCGTGAAGAATAGGTGTGTACCTGTGTGTGCACGTCACATGAAGAATAGGTGTGTGCTTGTGTGTGCACGTCACATGAAGAATAGGTGTGTGCCTGTGTGTGCATGTAACATGCTTATGAAGAATAGGTGTGTGCCCGTGTGTGCATGTAACATGCTCCTGAAGAATAGGTGTGTGCTTGTGTGTGCACGTCACATGCTCGTGAAGAATAGGTGTCATTCTTTGGAAGCCTCCACCTTGTGTTTTGAGAAAAGGAGACTTGCTTGCCTGGAGCGCACCAAATAGACAAGTCTGTTTCCACCTCTCGAGAGTGACCTGTACCAGGGTAGCTGGTTTTCACATGTGTTCTGTGGATGGAACTCTGCTTCTCCCACTTGCAAAGCAAGTAGTTTATCAAACGAGCTCTCTCTCCAGCACCTCCACTGGGATTTTGAAACCCCTTTCTCTTGTGGGGACCATGAGACAACACACCTGAGAGATATCGTGTTCACTAGGGTTTGGAAGGCGAAAAGAGTCACCTTAACCCATATATATGTATCATAAACAGCCACAAAGACTTCCTTAAAATCCACAGCCCCAAACCAGAGGGAGGCCTCCAACCTGGGGAAAAACCAGTCTTATTTTTTCTTCGGAGTTTGAAAAAAAAAAAAAAAGGAACAGACAAAAAGGAAACGAAGTTTGAGGGAGGTTTGATTGGCTGAGAGGAGATGTGGGAAGGGCAAGGGTGAATAGGATCAAAATACATTGTATAAAGATCCTCAAAGGGTTAATATAAAATACTATCTAACATGTATATGCGTGTTAAAATGTGGTAAGTAAGGAGGATCCACCAAGGAACCAACAGCAGAAGCCTGAGGGGAAAACGGGTTGAAAGACAAGGAGTATAGCCCTTCCGGGACCATTCCGAACTTTTTATATTAAGAATGGATTTTCAGTTTGTATTGGAAACAACTGAGTTACCCTAAATTGTTCCTAAAGCCCCCTTGTGACATGGAGACACTCACTCCGGTCTCTGTAAAATCCACCACCAGGCCTCCTTCACGCGTTTAGCATTCTCGAACCTTCCACACCCAGCTGACACTGACGTTTAGTTCCGGGATACTAGAACAGGGAAAGGAGTAGGCGGCGCCCGCCCAGCTCTTTGAGCTTACCTGGGCCCCCCGTGCATGCTGCCATGGTGATGGACGGACGCCGCCGTCTGCGCAGGCGTTAAGGGTTGGCACATATGGGCGTGGTCTCGGGTGGAGGAAGCCCGATGACCTGAACCTCGGCGCCGTGCGGAATTGGTGCGCACGCGCATTGTAGCAGCTGGGTTGGCAGAGGCGCTACGTCCAGTTGCATCGCTGAACTACTTGTCCCAGGGGGCTGCGGGCTGCAAAGCTAGAAGACATCACGTGACAGCACGAGTGGACTCGGTTCTGGCCCAGCCCTTCAGAGGATAATGATTTGAAAGTCGCTTTGACTAATATGGCAATTATTTTTAGACTCAACCAGACTTCCGTAGCCAGAATTTTCCATATCACAAAACACATTAGCCCTATCGCTTTATCGTTTTTCGTTTTCTGCCTGTATCTTGGCATTTAAGTTTAGTTTTCCTTTTTACACATTTAATTACTTCTTTACAGAAAGCATAAACCACACACCCCTCACCTCTACTTTATTATAGGACCGAGTGTGAGTACCATGGTCCAAGAACACCAAATTAGCTGCCCCAAATATCTTGCGGTTTCATGGCGTTTTTGCTGTTTAAGAAAGTCATCCATCCCACCCAAAGATCCCACTTTTCTCCCCGGCAATTTTGTCTACTTCCCATAGGCAAGAGGATAACTATATGTTTTTCCTTGGGTTCACCTTCTTATTTAGCTTCTTTAGGTTCACCAATTGTAGACTCCGTGACCCTTATTTATGGCTAGAAACCATTTATGAGTGAGTACATCCCATGTTCATCTTTTTGGGTCTGGGTTACCTCACTCAGGATAGTGTTTTCTATTTCCATCCATTTGCATGCAAAATTCGAGAAGTCATTGTTTTTTACTGCAGCGTAGTACTCTAATGTGTATATATTCCACACTTTCTTCATCCATTCTTCCATTGAAGGACATCTAGGTTGTTTCCAGGTTCTGGCTATTACAAATAATACTGCTATGAACATAGTTGAACAAATGCTTTTGTCATATGATAGGGCATCTCTTGAGTATATTCCCAAGAGGGGGTAAGGGGAGATGGGGAGAGAAAAGTGAGAAGGGGAGGATGGGGGGAACTTGGGGAAACAGGATGATTGGGATAAAGGAAGGCTGGATAGGGGAACACGGAAGCACAATTCTTAGTTAAGGGAGCCACCTTAGGGTTGGCAAGAGACTTGAACCTAGAGTGGCTCCCAGGAGCCCAAGGCGATGTCCCCAGTTAGTTCCTTGGGCAGATGAGGATAGGGAACCTGAAACAACCCTATCCTATAGCAATACTGATGAATATCTTGCATACCACCATAGAACCTTCATCTGGTGATGGATGGAGATAGAGACAGAGACCCACATTGGAGCACTGGACTGAGCTCCCAAGGTCCCAATGAGAAGCAGAAGGAGGGAGAAGATGAGCAAGGAAGTCAGGACCACGAGGGGTGCACCCACCCACTGAGACAGTGGGGCTGATCTATTGGGAGCTCACCAAGGCCAGCTGGACTATGACTGAAAAAGCATGTGATAAAACCGGACTCTCTGAACATGGTGAACAATGAGGGCTGATGAGAAGCCAAAGACAATGGCATGGGGTTTTGATCCTACTTCATGTTCTGGCTGTGTGGGAGCCTAGCCAGTTTGGATGTTCACCTTCCTAGACATGGACGGAGGGGGGAGGACCTTGGACTTTCCACAGGGCAGGGAACCCTGACTGCTCTTTGGACTGGAGTGGGAGGGGGAGAAGAATGGGGGGAGGGGGAGAAGGGTGGGAGGAGGGGGAGGGAAATGGGAGGCTGGGAGGAGGGGGAAACTTTTTTTTTCCTTTTCTCAATAAAAAAAAATAAAATATATAAAAAAAAGAAAAAAGAAAAAAGAAAGTCATCCATCATGGAATTTCCCAAACACTCAGGTGGAAACATCAGGTGTACAGTTTACAGCAAAGGAGGACATCTCGGTTTATGTTGTCAGGGACCAGTTGCTATCAGGCGTACAGTTTACAGCAAATGAGGACATCTCGGTTTATGTTGTCAGGGACCAGTTGCTATCAGAGGATTCTTAGCTTTTAGGCTGATGGAGATTAGAAGCGTGCTGTTAACACACTGCAAAAGGTTTCCCTTAGTCACAAGGATGTCAGGACAAAAGTGACCAATGCTATTAAGGGAGCATGATAGCAAAAGATGGTTGTCTCTGGATAGTCAACATACCAACTGGGAAGTTCTGACCTCGGCATTGCAGGACCTTTTTATCATAGCTGTGGCTCCGCCACCACTTTAGTTAGCACATCTACATGATTATGTTTTTATTTATTCTGTTGCTGAAATATAGTTTCCTTGTGTATCGACTTATTTTGTACTGTTAGGAGATGATAGCACCTTGCCTGAGTCCGACAACAGACCGGATTTTTACACTTTTCCTGGCTCTTGGTGGCACATTCAGTATGTGAGGCTTTTCCGGATAATGTAGCTATTCCCCTTAGGTTTTTCCACCTGTGGTGTTTCACCCCAGTAAAGGTGAAACCCTCTGAGTTTGCCTACTTAAGCGAGGGCCTTCAGTTATGCATACCGCCTTATGGGGAGCCTGAACTGATTGCTGCCCCGTACATGTGGGTGATTGCCCCAAGAGGTACCTCTAGCTTGTATCTTGTAACTAGGCATCCCTTGTTAAACTGTTGTGATGTTTTAGGATGAAGCTGCCATTTAGTCAGCTTTGTTTTCAGCACAAACATGGATCCTATCGTGCACTTTCCAGAAACACAGCTTCTTGTATTTGCACATTTGTGTACTCTTTGCATTTCACACTTACTACTGTGGCAAGGACTCCACCAATCTTGAACTGTATAATTTTACCAGAAAAGCCTGTAGCTCTTTTTACTGACTGCTGAAAACATTAGTGCGTCGGTCATGGGATAGATGCTACAAAGAACAAATCCCTCTAAACTTAAGCTTACAGCAGAGTCTTGTATGAGCTGGTTTTACCCGTGAGGGTCAGGAGTCAGAAGCTTCAGAGGGCAGGTCTCTGAAGGTTAGGAGCCAGAAGCATCAGAGGGCAGGTCTCTGAAGGTGAGCCCAGTCCGAGCCGCTTCAGAGGCTGGATTAAAGGTCTGGCTGGGCTTCGATCCACTTTCCATTCAAGCTGTGTTGTCAGGAAGCTTCAGGTCCTTATCAAATAGGTGTTTTTGCAGTAGCCAAAGACTGCAAGTGGTTCCCCCAACACTAGTACTGGATAGAATGGTGGCTGTCAACACGTGGGTCAGGACCCTTTCACAGGGGTCACATACCAACTATCCTGCAGTCAGATATTTGCATTATGACTCATAACAGCAACAAAATTAGTTATGAAGTAGCAATGAAAATAATTGTGTGGACGGGGTGTCACTAAGCATGAGGAACTGTAGTCAAGGGGCACAGCATTAGGACGGTTGAGAGCCCTGAGAGATGAACAGAGAGGGGTTAGTGGTGAAGAGTCTCTGGGGTTCTCCCTACTGCCACAGTCTGTTGTCATCGGTGGATAGCAGGGAAGTGCAGCAGGGAGGGAAGGGGGTGGGGACCGCTGTAAGTACCTCTAGAGCAGTGCTGTGGCCCTCAACACAGCTCCTCACAGCTGTGCTGACCCCACCGTAAAATTAGTTCATTGTGTGTTTTCCAATGGTCTTAGGCAACTCCTGTGAAAGAATGGTTCAACCCCAAAGAAGTCATGACCCCCAGGTTAAGAACACATACTTAAGCTTATTTTTAATCTTATGATTAAAAATTAATAGAGCCTTAACACTATTTTTTAAAGGACCTTTATTGGAGTACTTGAACTACAACTTACCTGTGTAAGCATAGGAATAAAGTTGAATTTTGTTTCTACAGATGCAAAAAAAAAAAATACTTGCCCAAAGGCATTCATATGAAATAGAATATTAAGAACACAATTTTAAACTACCAAAAATCCGGGAGTGCAAAAAGTAAGAGAGAGTGATGGGGATGAATATTACCAAAGTACTTAATATGCATCCATGAAAATGTCACGATGAAATCTATTCCTTTTCTGGGTCTGGTCAAACACACCTGTAATTCCAGCACTTGGGAGGCTGAGATGGAGGCCAGCCTAAGCCACACAGCTAGACCTTGTCTTAAAAAGAAGCCAACCATTAGTTTTTACAGTCAATATACATGAACAAAAATGTGGAAGACTAATGTATCAATTAAGTGGAAAAAGATAAATTTAGATGGTAAGGCTTAGTGTCCAGCAAAAAAAATTCAAATAAAAATCTGCATGCAGGTGTGTAATAAAATTGTTTTGATGAGACTACTAAGACCACAGGCTAGATTTCTAAAGGATTTTTTGTTCCGTTCTGCAATTAAGATGTATTTAACCAGTCACTGAGTAAAAAGTGTTCTGACAGAAGCAACGAAGCCTTTATGGCCCTAGGTATAAAGCTACATAGCCCAGGGAACTGAGGTAGGGAAACTTAACGTGCTGCATTTTATGTAAGAAAAGTCACTATGAAAAATCGTGTGCACGACTCTGGGAAATTAAAACTATGTATGAGTCACCAAGCAACTACTGGGCGTGTGTGTAAAGGAAGTCCCTGTCAAACGAGCAGCTGGATTGTGTGCTCACTGCAGTTTTATTAACAAAAACAAGACACAAAACCAACGTAAGGTCCACCAAGGGATGAATATGAGGCATAGGCACACAATGAAGTCAGGGCCCATACAGGAGATACCATCATTTTAACAAGGGTGAACTGACAGGTGACAAGCGAAGACAGACTGGCACAGGACGACCACTACGGCATGATCTCACTTCTGTGTGGAACTGAAGAATGCCGGACTCAGACAAAAAGCACAGATGGTGAGTTCTGGGGCTCAAGAGGCAGAGTCGGCAGAGGAAAGGAAGATGCTGGGGAGACGTTGGTCAGGACACAAAATTTCAGGTAGGTAAAATAAATTCAAGTGTTCTCTTGTACAACCACAATAACTACAAAAATCCCAATATATCGTGCACTTGAAGAAATAGAAAATAAGGCCACTACTGTTATGACTTCTGCGCCCTGGAATGGTACACAAGAAAAATGACTGTCTGCTGAGAGGATGTAGTGGAAGAATGGGGA